AAGTTACGGCTTACGGCCTCCCATGTGTATTCATACAGAGAAGTAAACGAGCTTATTATATTCAACGTGGTGGAAAGATTAACATGACAAAGCTAAGAGCAATCAGCGTGATATCAGAGAGTAAGTTAGCTATAAAATGGTTGAATAAATAAAAAATACCGGGCAAGTGATAGTCGGTTTCCTACGTGGATTTGTACCATTGTACAAGAATTAACAGTCAAACAAAAAACGCCGAAAAAGTCACGTTTTCACGTTATTTTGTTAAATAAAATTTTGTTTCTTAGGTTTTCACACACATCACTCATTAAATAAAATTAGTTTTAACGGGTTAATGTACGAACTTTATTTATTTATTGCCGTTTCGCAGCCTTTTCAGGTCTGCATCGTCAGAATAATGATTTTTTATTTACTTTGTCGAGCTAACTTCGAAAGACTTTTATTGAGCGTTCCAATATTTCATTGGAAGATTTTTAAAACTTTATTGTCTATGTATGAAAATATTAGTTTATTTGTTTCTTAGGTTTTCACGCACATCACTCATTAAATAAAACTAGTTTTTACGGGTTAATGCACGAAACTTTATTTAACCGGCGAAACAGCCTCTCTTGAGTTTGTTTCGCCGGTTCTTCTCAGGAAGGTCTCCCAATTTTGGAACCGGTGGTAGTTTACGGTAGTTAGGGTCAAATAAATAAACTCAAAATTACAAACAAGAATTTTAAATAAAATACTTTATTAAGTAAATTAAATAATAAATTCATACATAGACAATAAAAATTTTAAAAATCTTCCAATGAAATAACCGAACGCACAATATAATTCTTTCGAAGGTAGCTCGACAATTTTAAATAAAATCATTATTCTGACGATGCAGACCTGAAAAGGCTGCGAAACGTCAATAAATAAATAAAGTTTCGTGCATTAACCCGTAAAAACTAGTTTTATAAAATATTAGTTAATAAAGTACTAGTAAATCATCAAAATAAATTTATAATATTGTTATCGCAATCCAAATATTTCAATAAATACAATTTAATCATAAAATACTTTATTTAAAATATTTTTTTGCAATTTTGAGTTTATTTATTTGACCTTAACTACCGAAAACTACTTGATTACTACTACTACGATTATTATTCTGACGATGCAGACCTGAAAAGGCTGCGAATGTATATTAATAAATAAAGTTCGTGCATTAACCCGTTAAAACTAGTTTTATTTAAATAAATATTTTTAATGAAGGAAATATATTTATATATCTTTAGATACTTTTATGCTTGTAGCGACGACACTGGATTTTACAGAACTGCATTTTCTAGGTATTCATATTCTTTTATAACATGTTTTTTTTATGAGTTTTCCTTTGCTAAATAAAGCTTCTCAATCGTTAAACATTTATGTTTACGCTACAGTTACCATCGGCGCGGCAATCAGGGGTGGAGTGTTTGAACACAATGAATACGACTGTAATGAGCAAATGTGTACTTATTTTTATTTATTCGTAGCAAATCGAAAAATATTAATTTCTTTCATATATTAGTATGGATAACTTGGTTTACATTAGAGGCGCATTTAGCTCCATAAAAAAATAATGCGCTGTTTTTTTGAATTGCTTTTATGCCTACGTGTCATTTTGTTTCTGATGCTGGACTGTATGCGAAGTAAAACTAGGAATGCATTAGCTGTAAAACTTCGCGCGCGCTGTTGAGACTGGTTGTTAGATTAAGAAAAAAGAATGATAGAAAATTAGATATATTTTCTATCATTCTTTTTAGCAAATTATAAAACGCAAAAATATAATTTTACATTTTAGATTCAACTAATTTCTAGTTTCTATATGAAATGTAAGTATAATACCTCTCATATCCTGTCAATCTGCATGGGAAAAACTACGCAATATTTAATATATGTTCCTGCTAAATATTAATATTATGCTATGCAAAAATAGAAAGTAATAAAGTTATGCAACAAAAATTTGCCAGCTATAGTCGGAAGCTGAAGAAGTAGTGGGAAGCGATTGGGCTGTATAAGTGCCGTCTCGACATCAAAGAGTCCTCGAAGTGTGATCCAGCACCTCTCTATAAATTCTACATAACATAAGCGCTGAACTCCTGCTTATTAAGGTATGTCGATGGATTATAAAAATGATAATATTACCTTTTCAAGAGTCATTCAAAAGACGTCCCTCTGTGGGCACAGTAGATTTCGGGCATTGAAGATATCAATAGAAGACTACAGTCAAATAAGGGTATGTTCTAAAATTTTATATGTCTCTTAAGAAGGCTTAAGGTCACGTTACAGGCAATTGACAGAGTGATGTTAGGTATTTCCCTGCGCGATAGAATTAAAATTTAATGAAATTCGTAAGAGAACCAATATCACAATTAGACAAAAAGAATCTGTATCCTGTAATCATCCCGTTTAATTATTTCGAGAAAAGTGTCTCTGATTATTTACAGATTATGTAATTTATTTATGTAAAGTTGTCAGTGTAAACGGATACACTAGTGCTGTAGCAGTTAACTTGCCACGCACTTACTATTAGATGGAAATCTTGGTATAGGTAAATTAAAAATACATATTCTTCATAGGTATTTATGGTTTTGGAGGGAGTAAGATTGTTAATAATGAGGGTTCAAAACCGTTGGATTTATCTATAATAATAAGAAAAGATAATTGAGGCGAGGTAAAAGCATGAGAGTTGCATGTGTAAATAATGAGATATTGTCAATATAACTAACTAACTTGCCTATACATGTAAATATTACTCGACGCTCAGCTAGGGATATGAAATGACGTGACGTTTATTATAGTGTTTGTATAAATTATATAAGAAAGCTCATTAGGGCAGGGTTAGCTTTTGATGATATTAGGTAAGCAACACTCGGCGCGTTTGGAGCCAGCTGTACTTACAGCCTTGCAGAATTACTAGCGGCTGCTATAAGGCATAATAGATTGTTTGTAGTTATTACGAAGCTGGAACAGTATCTAATTAATCTGCCGTCGGCGTCTGTACAGTTTTGCCGCAGTTCAAGGTTTCGCTTTAGATAGAAATTGCGTTGGTCGGATAGATTTTAGGTTACCTATATGTATACTCGTAAGATTGTTACAATAGGTAAATTGACTACATTTTGAAGTGTAAAACCAAACCAAACCAAAACTGTATAGAAAATTTTAATATGCGTAGTTATCTGGTTAGTTATTTCATTTTTAGCGTTTCGTACCCAAAGGCCCAAAGGGTAAAAATGAAACCCTATTGCTGTCACTCTGTTATCTGTCTGTCCATTTGTCCGTAAGACACGGGTCTCTAAATCGTAAACGGAATGAATAACAGAACTGTCATTTTGGTATTTTATGTAAAATGCTTGCCCAAATCCGAATATTTAGTTACATTTCAAAAATTCGATTAAATTATTTTTGTGGGGGGTCCCATACATGAACAGGACTTGTGACTCAACACTATCTAGAGCTCGTTGAGTAGAGCAGAATATTATTATATTTTTGTCAAAGTTGTCTTTGTAGATAATTTTTGTTACGGGGTCTACAGCAAAATCGAAACTTAGAAATGTGACGTTTTGGTATATTATGTTCCATATGCTGTATTTAAACAACAAATACTGAAAACGGCGTTTTGTAATTCACTTAGTCAGTTGTGACGAAAACTACGATATTATTTATTCCTTTCGCGGTTTTTTATAAGGAACCCTTTGAGCGCGAGTCCGACTCGCACTTGGCCGGTTTTTAGGGTTCCGTAGCCAAATGGCAAAAACGGAACCCTTATAGATTAATTATGTAAGTCCATCTGTCCGTCCGTATGTCACAGCCACTTTTTTCCGAAACTATAAGAACTACACTATTGAAACTTGGTAAGTACATAGATGTATTCTGTAAACCGTATTAAGATTTTCACACAAAATAGAAAAAAAACAAGAAATTTTGGGGTCCCCATAATTAGAACAGAAATTCAAAAAAAAAATTCATCAAACCCATACGTGTGGATTATCTATGGATAGGTCTTCAAAATTGATATTGAGGTTTCTGAAATATTTTTTTCTAAATTGAATAGTTTGCGCGAGAAAAACTTCCAAAGTGGTAAAATGTGCCCCCGCTGTAACTTCTAAAATAAGAGACTGATAAAACTAAAAAGATATATGATGTACATTACTTTGCAAACTTCCACCGAAAATTGGTTTGAACGAGATCTAGTGAGTAGTTTTTTTAATACGTCATAAATCACAAATCAATTAAGAAAAATCACTAATATTAAAACATCGATCAAAGTTCCAACGAACTACAAGAACTTTTATATTATGTTACTTGCTGCTACGGAACCCTTCATGGGCGAATCCGACTCGCACTTGGCCGCTTATTCTTGTTTTTGTTTCCTCCCAGGCGGGGGAGTAGGTTTGAAATCCTCATGGGTACTCTGCAGCCGGTTGCAGGGTTATGTCAGACTCTTAGGCCCGTATTATAGAAAGATTTTCAGTGACTGATCTAGTCTTGAGCATAGTTAGAAAGGGATGTCGCTATATATAGCACATAGCGATATCCCTTTCTAACTGTACTCAGGTAAAGATCAACACTTGGTTGTCATTCCGTAATACAGCCCTTAGTGTCTAAAATACACGTGGCCATGCCTATGGCCATAAAGGCCTTACAAGCTTCGTCATCCCTTAAGAAGGGGATGTTGCAGGAGTTGTGAAATTGGACTTAAGGTGATACGTGACTAAGCAACCGTGTTTTATTTAGAGTTTTCTCATCCCTAGTCCTTTTGTGTATCCAGTAAGTATTGTTGCGCTCACTGTAATCAATTAGTTATATAACGAAACTTGCCTTATTTCTCAGCAAACAAAGCAATCTAACAGTTTCTTCGTAATAGAAATTGAGGAAGATAATGTTTTTCAGATGTAATCATCATTGTGAGATCATAAGCCTTTCGACTGTAGTAATAGGAATAACTAAGTTTCGACGGCACGAAGTTTGCTAATTTGGTTAGCAGAATAATGACTGCTCGAAACTTTGACTGGTTCCACGAGCTCTTTTGGAACTATGGATATAGACGGAGGCGTCTTAAGGTTGGTGCACATATCTACATCGGATATGGGAAACGGATCACACAACAAATCGGGCAATTTAATATTTTTTGTATGAAAACCCTACCCTTATCATAATAGTGCCTGTACCCCTGTACAGATATAATTATCCGGATCGCCATCGTCGTCCATCCTGTTCTAACTTTAGTTTTTAAAGCCATAGAATATTTTGGCACGATAACTTCACGATTCACCCGCTTAGGTACGTCTCTACTTCAATTGGCTTTCGTCTCTTCTAGAAACTGGTTGAAAGTCGACTGTTAGTTGTCCATTTGGTGACGCCTAGCCGTAAGACCACTTTTAGTTTGGGGTAAGCGCGCCGTTGCCCATCCGGTCTACGGATTCCGTAGCCGAGTAGGTGTACTACGATTGTTGATCCGCTCTTGCGGATGGCGAGGTAAATGCAATACTTGCCGATCCATTTCCGATATCTTATAATGTGTAACAACCTTTACACTATGGCGTCGCTTCAAGAAGTTTTCACAAGTTAATAGTTCGAGTGTTATTGTAATAAAGTTAGTACTTACGCTAAGTGTAATACATAAACGGGCATGTGTGACAGGCGCCCAAATCTACTATCTACAAACTTTGTTCTCATATAAACTTGTAATTTCTTCATATTTCATATTTCAATGTTCAGTCTGTACACAATGTACAACATTTTATTGAAAAATTTAAACACTATAGTACAGTACCCTAAGCAAGAACAACTAGCGTGAAAGTATATGTATCGTTATGTCAAAGTTTCTATGGAAAAAGCTAGTTTATTCTTATATCCGGTAGGGGCGTTACTTAGTTTCTATAGAAACTTTGTTGTTATATCGCGGTACGAATACCGATCTGTCAAAGTTCGGTCTTGGGGTGGAAATAATACGGTAAACCAGTGGTTTACAGCATCATCATCATGGACTCATTATATATGTTACAGTTCTAGGTGTCCTTATTCTAGGTTAATATGTCCTTAATTTCATTTAAGTGTAAACGCACCCGATACGTCTTACGTATAAGCGGCAATACTGATTTGTAAAAAATTACATTCTCCATTTTTTTCATAATTCAGGTGCAGCTGTAGTCCAAGACCTTAAAAGTTATTTTTTTTTGTATCCGAAAAAGTCCCTCCCATCTTGAAATCTGTATAATGCATTAAGGTAATTATGTTTTAATGTTATTTATTTTATAATCAGGTAAAGGATTACGTAAATATTTCATTGAATTGCTGAGTTGGTCATAATCTAACGTCACATTTTTGGCGTGCTCAAATTTTTTTTGGTACGATGGGGTAACTTTGCGCCCGGAGCAAACTAAACCCAAACATAAACCGTTCTAAAGTAAATATTTTTTATTCACTGTAAGTGGTTATTAATACACTTTTATCAAGGAAATTACAATAATAACTAAAGAAGGGGATATGTCTCTTTAACGAAAAAGTCGCTAAAATCCTGGACGTGCCTTAAACCCGTCGATTAAATTCAATACGATTGGCATGATATATTGCGATTTATTGATGTCCCTAAAAATTAGTAACCGCCGTGAAATGTATTCCGTTCCTGAACTGACCGCTTGGGGGGTTATTTTTTAATTATAATTTTAAAGTTCTAATTTTTGAGAAGTTTATCCCGTTAGTTTATTTCTGGTTGATTTTTCCAGCATTTGTACCTAAGTTACTAGTTAAGATAGCAGTGCCTATTATAATTTAAGAATATAAAAAAACCAATGAAACAACGTGATTTTGTAACTAAATTTAAGAATATATCATAATTTCTTTCAAAAACACGGTTTATTTTAATTTTTACCCATTTTTCGACTATCGATACTATCAAAAAAAGTAAAGCGTAATATAACTGGAGCATAGTTTGCATAAGGAAAGCATAACTTTGCTCAAAAAGCTTCTACAATGGATATTATTTGTGGAATATACCCCAGTCATTGTTTTATATATATTATGAAATACTTCATTACCTACTTATTAACTAATTTAACTTTAAAAATATGTTAGATAACATATTATTCTTTAAATTAATACATCTGAGTATATTTCATAATAAATAGTGTAAACAATATTCATAATTCCCATTTTTTGAGCAAATATTGGAGCAAAGTAGGACCATTTTACCGGAATATTATCGGTACTTATTTACCTATCTTATATTTCAGTACCTACTTTGTGGTATTAGGACTATACATTTATTGCAAGCCAAAAGGCAATCTTTAGGGTTATGCGTTAGATTCAGAGTCGAGCTGCGGTCAGGTCGACGTGTAACAGACAAGTTGTGGTATTGTTTTTTCCTCCTCTGGCAACACTGTCGCAAACAGCTGATTTTGAATTGTCCCTATATTTTTCAAGATAATTTACAATAATCTTGTTAATTTAAGGTTCTAAACCAATACATCATTAAGTAAACATTAAATATTAAGTGTTTTATAAAAATACCAGTGTGAATAACGCATAAAAGTGTAAAACAACTGTGAATAATACCGGCTTTTTTTTTGTAAGTCATTGTCATCTGTTTTCAAGAAATTTCTCTCTTTATACGCAGTGAGTGTAACAAGTATTATTAAAAACTACTTAATTATTACTGTGCTTATATTAGTGTTGGATAAAATTGTAAAATACTGCCTTACTTTACAAAATAATTTCGCACATAACCTTGCTCTGTTTGGTTAGACAATTCCTGTTATTTCAATTTCGTACTTTTATACTTATTAATTTCGTTGAAATGATGACACGTAAGGCTTTATCTCGTCAGGAGGAATCCAAACTCCAGCTGACTTTAAGAGAACTTAAGTCATCCAAGGAATTGTGTGATCAACTCAACAGGGAACGGGATGACAATGAAAGGGAATTATTAGACATTTTAAGTAAAAATCAAAAGTTAAAGAGTGAAATGGCTGAGCTACACAAACAGTATAGTGATGCCATTGATGCTCGGGACAGGCTGCAGTGCATCGTGGATGGCTTTGATCAGTGCAGAAATGAGTATGAGCAAACATTGCAGCGAATTCATATTTTAGAAACACAATTACAAGATGCCAATCACACAATTTCACTCCTAGAAGCATCAAAACAAAACATAACAGCCTCATTGAATCAGAGCCTTTTCGATGAGCTGGTGGTTTGTGCCCCGGACATGGTTTCTGCTACAATTAATAACCAGCCCACTGTCACCATAGACCTCACACATGATGATACTAAAAACAGTAAGAATACACTGGGGGTTATTGGATGTAAAGGAAATAAATTAAAGAAGTACATAAAAATTAATAAATACATTAAAAAAACTCAAAAACTTGTAAAAAAACAAAAGTTCTTTATAAAAAATGTTAAATTAAACAAGGAAAGATTGCAATTAATTGATAAATTGGATATATATTCAATAAAATATGACAACATTAGCCTAAGATATAAAAAAGACACACAAACATTGCAAAGTAAAATTGAACAATTACAAGAGTGTCTTATAAATGTTACAAAAAAATATGAACTGTCACAAAAAGAAATAAAGGAACACATGAAGGCACTGAATGAGTTGGTTGAATTATGTAATTACAACAATGACAGATTTAATTCTTTAACTAACAATCACACATGTGATTGTAAACAGTTAACAGCTCAGTCACCTGTCAATTGTGATTCCTCCATATCACAACATGTAACTATTAGTTCCCCACAGCAGCCATCAAAGGAATGCTTGACTTCAGTGAAAACAATTCACTCGGACAACTTAGTTTTAGATAATAAATATGAAAAAATCATATTATTTAGTGATGAAATTGGCAAGGGCATGGGCCCTCTTTTATCTATAATGGGAAATTCAATTATCAATCACTGTATGCCTAATGTTTCTTATAAGGATATCTTAGGAAATGCAATCAAACAGAATTATAGTAAATGCACTACTTTGTTATTTTTTGTGGGAAATAGAGGCAATTTGAACAAAAAATCATTGATTCAATATGTCAATGACCTGAGCTCATTAAATGTTGAAAAAATTATATTGTTTACATTGCCCTATTGTAGAAGTCTGCCAAAGGAGGAAAATATCTTAAGATATAAATTAAATATGCTTTTGTTCACAATGTGTAAAAGTGAAAAATTTCATATTATTGACACTAACAATTATGTTAGAAATTTATATTTGACCAAAGATAAATATTATCTTTCTAATTATTATAAAAGACAGATAGCTAAGTCGCTATCATATTATTTTTATATAACAGCCAAAAACTTGGCTAAACAAATTGCTTTTATTGAGCAATGTTCCATTGACTTGACAGTCAGTAATTCTTCTACTGACAAATTACAAAATAATAACTATTGTTTAAATTAAATAATGAGACAACAGACAACTCGTCTTGCTTAATAATAAATAATTATTGTAATAACTTGCATAAAAATATTAATTTAATTAAGAAAAATCCCAAACAATTAAAAGAAAATGTAAACTTGATCAACCTGATGCATATAAATATTCAAGGAATGATGGGTAAGGACTTAGAAATTGAATTATTTTTGAATTGTAACAATATAGATATATTTTGTATCACAGAGCATTGGCTTAAAACTCATCAATTCATCTTTAATTTTAATAATCATCAGGTTGGTAGTTCGTTCAGTCGAGAAGATGCGATTCGCGGTGGCTCTTTAATTTTATTAAATAAGGCACTTAAATTTAAGGAACGTAAAGATATTGTGAGCCTCTCGGTTGAGCGAACAATAGAGATTGCCTGTGTGGAACTGGACCAGCTTGTTGTATTGAGTGTATACAGACCTCCTTCAGCATTGTATGATTGTTTTGAAACTATTATGGATGAAGCTTTAGAAAAAATTGTCAACACTGGTAAACGATTAATTGTTTGTGGTGACTTTAATATTAATCTATTAGAAACCTCTAATTTGAGTATTAATTTAAGAAATCTATTTCAATCATATAATCTTGAAAACTTGTTCATGGAGCCTACTAGAATAACTGCCACTTCGGCCACTTGTATTGACAATATTTATACGGATATAATACCACATTCAAAAGTAATTGTTAATCAACTGGATAGTGATCATTGTGGCCAGATGATTACTTTTCCTCATCCAAATAAAAATATCACCAAGAAATATATTACTATTGTGCCAAAATCTGTTAACCGTATAGAGCGTTTTAAAATTCAATTAGATAGGAGTTTGAGTTATTTAAAATATAAAAGTAGTCCAAATGATATGTATAATGATTTTTTTAATAATTTTTGTAAAGAATTTAATGATGTCTTTGTTCCCAAAACCATATGTGTTAGTGATGCAGTAACATTCAGCGAGTGGGCCACCCCAGGCATACATAAAAGTAGAAGGAAACTTTATGAACTTTACAATGAACGCAGCATCAATACTAGTGAAAGTTTCAAAGAGTACGTACGTAATTATTCAAAGTTATTTAAAAAAGTATGTCGTACAGCAAAATCAAATTATTTAAGTAGTAAGATTAAGAATAGTAATGACAAAATCAAAATGACTTGGAACATTATAAACAATGAAACTGGAAAATCTAAAACTCGAAATACTAGTTTTAATTTAAACATTGAACATAGAAATGTTACATCAGATGTTGAAGTTGCTACAGCATTTGAGAACTTTTTCACTGATATTCCAGTTTCAACTACAAAATCTTTGAAGTCGTCCCCCATTGCGGCTGAATCAATATTAAAAGAACACACAAAACAATATACTAGTCAATTTAAATTTAAGTATGTTAACTGTAAAGATGTAATAAAATATTTCAACCAATTAAATAAAAAGAAAACTGCGGATCTGTGGGGTAACTCCGTGGATGTTTCTGGATCAGTAATTGAGACAATAGCTCCTATTTTGGCTAGCATTTTTAATCAATGTGTTGACTGTGGTGTTTTTCCTGATCTAATGAAACTCAGTAAAATAACTCCATTACATAAATCGGGTAGCACATCTGACCCCACAAACTTTAGACCTATATCTGTGTTACCCACCTTTAGTAAGATTTTTGAAAAAATTATGCTAGATCAAATGCAATCATATTTTTATAGTAATAACATTCTTCATAGTAAACAATTTGGTTTCACAAGGGGTCGCTCAACAACCGATGCCGGTGTTGAGCTTGTACAGCAAATTTTTGATGCCTGGGAGAACTCGCAAGATGCATTAGGTGTATTTTGTGACTTATCAAAGGCTTTTGATTGCGTTTTTCATGAAACATTGATCAGGAAACTTCACCACTATGGATTTAGAGATACCACTCTGGATCTTATTGTATCTTATTTGAGTGATAGGGTTCAGAGGGTTGACATCAATGGAGTAAAATCTCCTGGTTCGTCGGTTAAGATGGGAGTTCCGCAGGGCTCAATCCTTGGTCCTTTCTTATTTTTAATTTATATCAATGACTTGCCCTATTTTGTAAAGGATAACCACGAAATTGTATTGTTTGCGGATGACACTTCACTTTTGTTTAAAATTAAACGTAGGGAGTCACAAATTGATGACGTGAACAGGTCTATTTCGAAGGTAGTCCATTGGTTCAATGTTAATAATTTGATGCTAAATGAAGGGAAAACTAAGTGTTTGAAATTTGTATTACCTAATGTGAAACAGGTAAAAACTAATGTAAATATAAAGGATCGACATATGAGCACTGTAGATACCACAGTGTTCTTAGGAATCACACTAGATTCTAAGCTGCAGTGGGGCCCACATATTGATGGATTGTCGAAGAGACTTAGTTCTGCAGCATATGCTGTAATGAAAATACGGCAGTTAACGGATATAGAAACTGCCAGATTAGTCTACTTTAGTTATTTTCATAGTGTAATGTCTTACGGTATTTTACTGTGGGGAAATGCCGCCGACATTCAAACTATATTTGTGCTGCAGAAGAGGGCTATTCGATCAATTTATAATCTTAAAGTTAAGGATTCATTAAGAGATAAGTTTAAAGAAATAGGTATATTGACAGTTGCATCACAATACATATATGACAACTTAGTATTTGTAAAAAAAAATATTAATTTGTTTACTAAAAATAGTGAAATACATACATATAATACTAGAAATAAAAATAACTTAACTTTACCTGCTACTAGGCTCCACAAAATCAATAATTCGTTTAGAGGTCTTAGTGTTCGCTTTTACAATAAAGTTCCAAGCAATATTCAAGAGTTAAGCATGACTAAATTTAAATCGACCATTAAAAAATTACTAGTTAAGAAAGCATATTATAAAGTGTCTGATTATATTACAGACAAAAATGCTTGGGTATGAACTCTTCCAACCATTCCAACGGGTATTTCTATATGATTTAAATTATGAATTATGTGTTGACAATACTATAATTAAACTGAAAGCTGTATATAAAGTTAATAACTTAAGTAAGATTACCAGACTGTTTAAGAATATTTGATTGACAAAACGGCGTGGTCGTGATTTCTCCTTTGCTTTGTTTTGTAATTGTTTGTTGTGTCTTACTGGTAAATGACCTTAATTTAAGTAAATATGTTGTAGTTAGTATGGGTAGTTATGGGTAGTCATGCTCTCATAATAGTCTCTTCGGCGGTGTCGTGTGAGGCGGGTCGTTACGTTCCCTAAAATATGGTTGAGCGAAGCAATGGCTGGTTCATGCGTCATGCTCGTGAACGGGTGCTGCCAGCGGAGATGAGTCTGCCCTAACTTCCTTAATATTGAAGTTAATGTTTAGTCACACTGAATATAAATAACACTATTTGTATTTATACTGTATGACACAGCAATCAAAATGCAGGTAAACAATTAATGTATATTTAATAATTATGTAATGAAAAGTGACTTCATGAATCACCTCTGAAGTCATTTTTCAATTTGACGACTCTGTAAATAATAAAACAGGGAGAAAAAAACAGCCCTTGCTGAGTTTCTTGCCGGTTCTTCTCAGTACAAGGTCTCCCGCCGTAGATTTACGAACCGATGGCGTAGCTTCTAGACATTCATATGTGCTTGTAACAGCCTAAACTGAATAAATGATTTTGATTATGATTATGATTATGATTATGATTATGATTGTTGACCGTAGTCTGACCTTCACATGTGATACACCGAACAAAGAATGTTATGTTGTCAATAATTGATTTAGTTTCAAATTGTTGTTTCTCCTTAACTACAAGCTGGCCTCTTCTGTAGCAAAGGGTTACAGTGATAGATGCACGTCATGTATCTATGTTTTCATTATTTGCAATATAACATGTTCAATCAATGTTATATCACGTTCAAAAGAAATTGGAATGGAAGCCACTCCTACGTCTTCTGGGAGTGACCCTCGACACGGACGATGTACTTATCAAGGAGGCCATAAAATCCCAGAATAAAAGCCTGCTGGAGGAAGTGGAAGAGGAAGAGAGAGAGGCCAGAGTGGTTATGAGGGTTAGGAGGAGTACCGAGGCAGTGGCTGGGGTCATATTGGAGGTTGGACCAGCACTGTGGGCGGCACTTAAATACAGGAAGGTTCGCGTAGGGTTCCAAATTATCCCAGTTGTTTAACAATCCCCGATAAGCCAGTGTTATCGTTGTTTGGGTTTTGGTCACCTAGCTACCTCTTGCCAAGCCAAAAACCCCAGTTGTAGGTACTGCATGGACTCCCACGACACCCGGGAGTGTCCAAACAGGAAGTCAACTCCAAGATACAAGAACTGTAGCCTGGCCAAGCTAGAGAAAGAGAAGAAATTGTTCGTCCACACTTGTACAACATTGTTATATAACATTTTTGTTATATAGTCTGGACGTACCATCTACCGGTTTTTTTAAGATTCGTTGTACGTTATTTTTTTCTACAATAACGGTGCAAAAAATGTCAACTACAAATACTTTTCTTATACTTTTATTCTCTGATTCGTATGAAATAAGTAGTTTAATTAAAAACTCTTTGCGTTGCTGGACTTTAGAAAAATAAAGGAAAGTAACGAAGCTATAGCCATTGCTGAATAAACAAACACCTACCTGGTGCTAACTTCTATCATTCAACGGCACACCGGCCGCGAATAGCTTAAAAACTTTAACCCTGGTGAGCCGTTTAAATTGAAAAGATTGCTGGAAGCTCACTGGAATTTAATTAGTGCTTAGGAATGTGAATTACTCTGCCTGATGAAGGTGGCGCTCGGAACATATTGCATTTGTTATGTTGTAATTCCACTGACATAGACTGATTCAAAATTAACAAAAGTTATTACGGGACTTGAGAACAGGTAAACTGGGTTGTTTGCTTATGAGCAGTAGTTTCAACTGCATATAATATTAGTACTTGTAGGTTGCTGGCATGTGAGGAACCCCCACATTGTGTTAGCTAATGTAATAATAGTATAGCGTAAGGTAATGTCTGTGTGAACAGACTGTCTTTAATGACATTGCGGAGTAAATTGGCTTATGTTTCGGGAGTGAGTAACGCTACAACTAGGTCCAAAAAGGCTTGGCAGTGTATCTATTTGTAACAAGAGGTTGCTAGAGGAAATTTCCATATCAGGCTCTAGAATCCTATAGCAACCCGCATAAATCAATAATATTATAGGTTCATGTAACTAGTGACTGACCATAGTGTGCATACCGCATGAGAGGTATGGAAAGTAGCCAACTGTGACTAAGCGTGCAAATAGTAGCATTTAAAGCTCTCTTCCATTTTTCAAAAAGAAAGGCTGAGTGAATGATATAAAATTCGTTCATTCTTTACACTCTGTGGACATTTTGAGGTTGTTTTGTTAGAGCATCACCGGGAATAGGGTTCAGAACAGCAGCAGCTGTTACTGAAATCAACCTTTCTTGCAGGCTTCCAGATCACAGCTTCAAATTTGGACTCCGTTTATACCCGCCGCTGCGGTGAAATAAATTTATTACAAATCGTATTTGAAAGCACAAAAAAATACAAATTATATTTTTGTTAATGTCATTTTCATTAGGTATAGTGTGACGCAAAGAAAAAGCTTTAAATATCCATAGACTTACTTATTTTAAGTTTATTTTTCGGATGAAATATAATATTATAAAAGACAACCTACCACAATTGTTGTTTACTTATTTTAACTTATATTTTGAAAATAATATAAACATTCCGGATCGACGCGACGAAACAGAAGCGAGATTATAATGAGAATTAAGGACAGGCTGATAATGAAAAAAAACATACACTTAGTTTCAGAATTAACCAACAAATTTTAAAACAACAAAAGAATATTGTAACGTTAGCCAAAACCTAAAATAATATTATAAGGTGTTGAGCATACAATGCTAAAGTAGGTGAATGTAATTCTTATGAGAAACAAAGTTCTTAATGCTCACATTTCATAAGTCTGAAAGGGTTTAATTAAAATCCCGCAGTGGAATAAATTATTGCGACTAGCTGCTTTCTTGCTTATAATACTTTTTAGCACATCGTCGTGAAGGAATCTTCAAGGGGTCTACATTTTATCGCAGATCTTTGAATTACATAACTACTTTGCGGATGGCATCAACTTCATTTCGCAGCAAAGCATTTGGCATTAACTTATTTATCAAATATCCAAAACTCATAATTTTGTAAGCCAGAATCATCTTCAGGCACAAATTTTAAGAGATAAGATTTCAACCACAAACATATTCTTATGAACAAGTCGCAGGTTGAGAAAAATGAACCGCGCACTTGTAAATAAAAATCGCGTGAAATATATTTCGTCTTCGTCTATAATAGATTCGGATTTTATTTGCTTTTATAAAAAGTGAGTGTGTCTTCCTCAAGGAGTGAGAATTAAAGTATTATATTAATCCCCAAGAACATTGTATTGGACGCTAAAATGTTAGTTGCATTTACTTATTTTCTTGATAAAAAGTAGAGTGTCCACCTTGGGACCATTATTTTAAAAGCGCGCAACGTACTCTAAAATAGCTATACTGGATTAAAAAACGCTCTAGCCTTTAATATAGTTACTGTTCTTTACTCCCTTAGTTAACAATTTATAATTAAAAAATATGCCTTACAAATATTCCTCTAAAGAAGATTATACCAAGTGGCAGTACACACAAATGAATTTTGGTACAACAAGATGCTGACAGAAAAGCTGATGTGATCAAGACTGTTTTAGATATTATTTGTGTAGATCTGTTTAGGGGTTTGAATTGTATTTGTGTTTTATTTTTATATTAAATTTTAGGTAATATAGCGTAACATTTATCTTCTTTATTTGTTAGATCTTGTTTTAAAGGCACTAACGGCCTAACAGGATCTTTACCGTTGGGTAAATGATAATTGTCTTTTTTCCTTTTCTAGATTAAGAGACCCAGGTCCAGTTGCAGCAAATTTTCTAAATCTGAATTTAACTAAAACTAGATTTAACCCATACAAAAATGTCGTCACATCAATGTCAATTTGACGTTATTATATGGGAGAGTCTTTTAGTTAAATTGAGATTTAGAAAAATTGCTGCAAGTGGACCTACGAGTATGATGTTAATAGAGCAGCGAGTGTTTTGATTAGAATGTTGATAATAGTATTATTCGATCAACATTTCTATAGACACCGAGTTGAATACAAAATCAAAGCTAAAAACTGTCCGCGTGAGTTTGCAGCTACAATCGATTCCCAATGAACAAAGACAAATGTTTTAAAACAGTTTAAGTTGAAACTTATAACAACCATGTCAGAAAGGAATAAAGTTACAAATACCGAAATGTTATTTCGTACATATGGCCAGTTACTAATTGAAAAGTTAGAACTAATTGAAAATAAGATCTCACGCCTCAAGTGGCTATATTCACCGAGACGGATTTTACGCGCTGACCCGTTATCTATAGTATAGTTAATCGAAGTTTGCGTTCAAATGTCTATTTGTTTAAATATTTGAAATTAGTCATAAAAATAGGTAAATGATACTTCTGTGAAACATTAAGACTAAGCGTGTTCTATTGTATGTAGTAAGTAAAGCAATTAAATCGGGTACGTACGTGACATTTTTTGTATTGCATGTTACTACATACAATGTTTCAAATGAATCACACTTTTCTTTTTCTTAACTTGTCATTACAGTTTGTCATTACGAGGTAGTAAAGGATTATTATATTGCTACGTGTCCCGCCCACTGCCACTTCGGCAGAGCAACCGTTCGAGCGATATCGGTTACTTTGGTTGTCCTACGGATTTCCTCATTTCTGATTCTATCGCGTAGGGAAACACCGAGCATCGCTCTCTACATTGCTCGCTGTGTGACCTTGAGCCTTCTTATGAGACCCGCAGTAAAGGACCACGTCTCGCTTCCGTAGGTCACACACATCTCTTATATCATATAATTTCTTGCCGGCTCTACACTAGTGCCGTGAAGCTCCGTGAACAGGATGTTGATGCTTTTCGCAGCTCCAAGCGCGTTCGATGTAGAGTGTCCTCACCACTGATGAGACGAATTTACGCCATTTCACGGCACAAGTGTGGGGCTGGCATATGAGACACAGGCAAACTACAGGGCTGCGTCCTTAACCTACGTTCTGAGCGCAACTGCTTACCATGGCGTCTCAATTTTGACATAAAATGTATGAAACTTATGCCAAAATTTTCATTTATTGCACTTGGAGCGTAGGTTTAGAATGCAGCCCAGCTTGCTACAGTGCGTCAGCTAAAAGAATGCGTTCGTTACACTGATATGCCGTATTAGTTTATCATGTTCATAGAATAAATTACGCTTTTAATCTAGTTACTAGATATGCCCGAAAATAAAGTCTACTCTGTTACCATATGGAACTGATATGACCTATCAGGAGAGCAGCTTTTAGGCAAGGCACATTGCAGCACAGCATCATATTGATTGGTTATCCTAATAAAGACAATATAATTTTTATGATATTGACGGAGACATTCAACCCTTACATAAAATGTTCACAATGTCATACAGACACGGTCTTTGTACGATGGTTGACAATTAGCTTTGGAGCCAACGTTATTGAATTTTAATGTAGATAAGTACCACAAAGAGACCCCACTTGTAAGTTTGTGGTACGTGAAGGCAACAAGAACATTAATTACTAGTTTACACACCAATGAATTCATCTGCATAGGATAATTAGCTCGCAAACTTTCATACACTACTTTACCCACTCCATTACATACATGAACCGTGAAACGTAACACAAATTTCCAAAAGAATGAAAAAAATAACCCGCTAAGTGTGAGTCGGACTCGCGCACCGAGGGTTCCGTACAAACTCAATTTAATACCTCTACGCGTTCATGAGAAAAGAGGTAGTAACTTTAAAATTTTCAAATATTTTTTTTATTATATGATGTAACTAAAAATTTATATTTTTCGCTATTCTTCTTCTTCTTCTTTACGGTGGGTGTTTTCCGCAACTCGACACCAGGTGCCTATTTTGCGTGTGAGGATGGCCTTAGTCGTGCCATCCCAACTCCCCCAAGAAGCTCAGCAGTCTCTTGGTGTCGCCGCAGGCCTCGAGTAGCGTCTGCGGGCTGCCCAGGTGTGTCATCCGATGTCTGGTCACGCCTCTGCATTGTAGCAGGACGTGAGTGCTCGTCTC